CTGAATAACAACATTACAAGAGACAAGTGACCTCTGATGATGTGCTCATCTTCAAACACTGAATTTTTTCTCTTTTTTCCCTGTATCCTTATTTTCTGCCGTGGTGTTGCCTCAGGGTGAGCCCGGCGAGCCAGGTCCTCCAGGTGCTCAGGGCATTCAGGGAATCCCTGGCAATCCAAGCATCCAGGGCCCCACAGGTCTTAGGGGTCTTCCAGGGGACCCAGGAGAGGCAGGTAGAGAGGTATGTCACCATACATTATCTTACAATGACCCTTAAACTCTTTTGAATGCCAATACAATATAATAAATGAAATGATCTAACAAATGAAATAACCTTCGAGAGAAGATTCATTCTCACAAAGATTCGAGAGAATCTTCGTGAGAATGAATTAATAAGAAGAGGTATAGACAGAGAAGGTTATAAGTATTACCTCACTGCTTAAATAATAATGATGAGGTATGATGTTTGTGTTGATATTAGGGCAGCCGAGGTAAAAGAGGGAAGAATGGCTCCCCAGGATCTCCTGGACCTCGAGGACCGCCAGGACCTCATGTATAGAAAACTTAACATATCATTTCTGTCTTTTAGGTTGTTTATTTCTATGCCAGCCTTCTACGCTAAAAATCACTGCTTGTTACAATTTTGTTTTTCATTTTATGCTTTTGTTTCTCTCTGTTTTATTGCTGGCTGAAAATGAGTCCAATTTCTTTTCGTACCACCTGATAGGGTATTCCTGGCATACCTGGAGAAAAAGGAGAAAAGGTAAGTACTAATATTATGCACAGTTGTGTAAGCCAAACTTAAAGGATGGTGTTATTGTTATTTTAACATAAATCTATTTGGCTCATACTACAATTAAGCAGTTTTTGCCACTTCAGAAATGATCATTTTCCCTTCTTCATTTTACCAGGGTGACAGTATACCAGGTGAACCTGGTGAGAGAGGCGTAGTTGGCCTCCCAGGTAAAAGGGTAAGTTCCTTTTTACATATTTGACATTTGGTGACTATGTTGTTGGTGATGTTTAGACCAGACAGGAACTGTAGTTTTTAATCTTTTTATAATAACAAAAAATCAGCGTTGCCATGTTTGCTTATGCAGGAAAATGTTTCTTTTCAGGGTGACAAGGGCTCTCCAGGTGTTAAAGGAGCTCCTGGGCCCATAGTAAGCAACTTTTCAAAACCACACAATTGAGCATGAAGTTTTATATAAAACCCTTAGTGACATAGAAAAATACACTATCTTTCACCCTTCTTATAAAAACAGGGTCTTAAAGGACTGAGTGGGAGCAAAGGTGAAAAGGTGAGCTGTTGCCATGACTGATGAATCAGTGATGTTTCTTGTTTTCATCTTTTTTAAATCAATTTTCTGAATTGTTTTTTTATTAGACGTCTTAAATTACAGCTAATGAGACTTTAATATAGAAAATTACATATATTTTATATTTAAAGGACTATACCACCAAGTGCAAACTGAAAACTCTGTGTTGCACTTCATGCAAACGGCACTCAGGCTATGCTGCGTCCAGCTTACCAGGCTCTGAAATACAGTGAACTGAAATTGCTGTCGTGTTGCTTGAAGCGCCTCAAAACTATGTGACACAGTAGAGTCAAAAAGTATTATTTAAGTTGATGTGCATCTTTGTTTCTTATCGGCACTAGCACTGTTAACAATGTATAATTACAGCAAGAGACACACAGTGTGCATATTAGGACAATGTTTCCGTTCATGCATCCATCACTGTTGACTGCAGGGAGGATAGATGGACTCAGTTTATCTGCGACATAAGCATGTTGTAATAGAACAAGATAGCGAGCATATATATTTGCATAAGTACTCGCCTCTTTTATCTGTGCAACCAAAGCAGTGAAATGAGTGACTGGATGTTTTTCTCTTTACCCTGAGGATTTCTGTTAAACGAGTGCATGAAGCATGAAGCTGCTATAATTCTCAGGTGCCCGAACATCAATAAACAGCTGCTTGCGATTTATTTTTACTTGCACATGACTCACTGACATTAAGATGTGAATATTCTGCTCTATTACAGGCACATTTATGTTGCAATTGTAATTTCCCATTTGTTTTTAAGTATCAGTGGGTACAGGCTCTGTTAAAAGTGGTGTCACTTGTTGGTCAGCCTGCATTCATATTTGTTTGTCTTCTCAGACAGTGTCGTAACTAAAGTTTTGCTGGATGATTTTATTAACTATGACGATCATGTCAAAAACCAATAAAATCTCATCATGTTGTGCAGAACTAGCGTTCAACATATTTTATACTAGAACTACTACAATGTGCGTGCATTTTTCTTGTATTGAAATTGAAATTGAAATCATCCTGTTTGAAAGTGGATTTAAAAATCAAGTTTTGTTTTCTTTTAGGGAGATCGTGGATCACCTGGAGTCAAAGGAGAAAGGGTATAATGAGTTTGTCTTGCTCTGTGGTTAAACACATTGAAAAAATGTGTGTCAAACAAGACATATTTGGCCATTTGGCTGGAAGGCGGGTTTTAAAGGTAGAAAGGTAGAAGGCTGGGCACTGCTGCTCTCGGGGGACTCAAAGTGTTAATATTATGTAAATACAATTTTAGATGAACAGCAACACTTGAAATGTTACACTGTACCATTATTTATTTAACATATATTAACACATACTAAGCCAGACTGCAAAAGTAGTATGGGAAAAACCAACTATATTTGTTGAAGAACAGCTCTATTAATGTGCTGGCACAGCATTTGAGTCATGTTGAGGTCTGGACTTTTACTGAGCCATTGCAACACCTTGATTCTTTTCTTTTTCAGCACTTCTGTTGTAGATTTGCTGCTGTGCTTAGGATCATTGGCCTGGTGTATGACCCAGTTTTGGCCAACTGGGTAGCTGTTGGACAGATGGCCTCACAGTTGAATCTAGCCTATTTCTAGTCTATCTCTATTTGGTATACAACAGAGTCCATGGTTGACTCAATGACTGCAAGATACCTAGGTCCTGTAACTGTAAAACAATCCCAAATCCTTACCCCACCACCACCATGCTTGACATGAATATGATGTTTTTGTGCTGAAGGCTGAAACTAAAAGAGGGTGTTCTTTATTTTTGAATGAGCTGTATTTACATTAGTTTCATACTGAGTGTACAACTGAATTCCTTTCTGCAGGGCAGTGTTCTTCAAATCCAAGGACCTCGTGGCTATAAGGGTTCCAAAGGACAGCCAGTGAGATCCCACTGACTTTTTTTCTATTACTCATTCCACTAAAATGAGTTTCAGTACAAAACATATTGAAACAACTCAAGCCATCTAACACATACACAATAAAAAGAGCTGAAAATATAAGCTGTAAGCTTAAAAAAATGTGTGAAATTACACAAAAAAGCTGAATAAATTAGCAATGAAGAAGTGTGCGGGCATTTTGTTTCAGGGTGAGCGAGGTTCACCTGGTTTTGACGGGGATAAAGGAGAAAAAGGCGAGGACGGTCCTCCTGGGGTCAAGGTAATGAATTCAGATACAACGTTGTTTAGAGTTTGGAAAAGTTTGCAGGTTACAGAGTGTAGTACCAATCATGTCTTGCTTAAAAACATCTAAAATCTAACTAATTAAATGTTTTTAAAAGGGTGTAAAAGGTAATGCAGGTATAAAAGGTGCAATGGGAAGATTTGGAGCACGGGGCCCGGTAGGACAAAAAGTAAGTAAGTTAGGCATCAACATTAGTTCAAACATTCATTTCTGGCAGCTCTGTGTGTGAAATTGTCACGATTGTCTGCAGGGAGATCCAGGGGATCCTGGAGTCAATGGAGTGATGGTACTGACGTCTACGACATTTAAAGCCAATATTCAGTATTAATTTAAGATGTGATCAAGTGAGATAATAACAATTTAATTTGATTCAAGGGTCGCAATGGGGCTGATGGGCTGGATGGAGCCAAAGGGGATAAAGGAGACAATGGACTCCAAGGACAACAGGGTAATCAGGTACTCTAATGAGCAGTTTATAACTACTGACAGCACCTTTCATTTCTAAACATTCAAATACAGGTAATTTAGTTTGTCATTCTTTTATTTTTTCCATAGGGTGATCCAGGAGAACCTGGCTTACCAGGAGAAAAAGGGGAGAAAGGGGAGAAGGTGAAGAATTTCCATTTTCACATTGATTACTTTTTCCTAATTTGTCACCTGCTTGTGTATCTGTGTTTTAATGAATTAAGTGATGTGTTTCATGCTTTTACAGGGTTTCAGAGGTTTTCCTGGGCGCACTGGGAGCCTTGGCCTGAATGGAGAAAAGGTTATCCCTTAATTTGATTCTTATTAGATTAGTGAGCTGTGTTAGGTTATGTAGCGGTGCTATGTGAAAAACTTTCTATGCATACTCCATATATGTCCCTGCAAAACAGGGAGATATGGGGCTACCTGGCACCCCGGGCATACCTGGACTGAATGGGGTCACGGGACGCAAGGTAAGCGTTTAAGTGTGCCTTTATTTCCCCTACTAATTTCCCAAGCACGCACGCACACACACACACACACACACACACACACACACACACACACACACACACACACACACACACACACACAC